ATAGCTCTCGTGTTGATATCAATATTGCTCTTTGAGTTTTATAGACAGCATTATTGTGTTGTATTAATTAATTATTTTTGTAAAATATTGATGATTGTAAGGGCGCTTTGTCTCGGAGAACAATTTTGTAACTATATAAACATTCTGTTGTAAGAAAAACCACACAAAAAATGAATAAAAATAAAAGAAATAAAGTGTTGCATGCAGTATCTTGCCCTAATGAACACTTAAATCGAAAGGTCGCGAGTTGTGTTCTTTGGGTTGTTAAGGTAAAGTTGTTATGGATTGTCCTCCCAATTATGCAAGCTGGGTACCTAGGATGTTACAGGATGTGTAGTTTGTCGAGGAGCACGATAAACCCCAGGGTCGAGTTGTTCAAAGCCCGATGAGGCTAACCCAGGATAAGCGAGAATTTTGATTTGAGTTTTGTAACCTTGCGGTGAGGTTCTATATATAGTTTGGCCTTCTGATTTGAGTTTGAATTATCTCAAACTACACGAATTAAACAAAAGCAGTGAAACACATACGTATGCAAGAAAAATTTCAACTCAATTTTAGTTATACATTCACGACATTTGCTGGAGTAGTGTTGTTCGTCCTTCGTAGTCGAAGAGTAGAAGGTAGGGGATTAATTTACGTATATTACTGTTTTAGTCCTTTAATATGAGGATACATACATGTATTCTCCAAAGTCATAAATCACGAGTCAGGATTTCGAGTCAGGATTCTCCAGCAAAAGACCAGCAGGCTTTCGCTCCAGCTTGCTTGCGGTTAGCTCTCATTTCGGCTCGACTCTAGTTAATCTCTGATACTAAGCGTCATTTAGTTGCGTTACAAAATTTCTATGTACCTTATGTGATCTGTTATGGCGTTACGAACCCTGTTGTCCATCTACCAATCCCCTCTTCAGGCGTGGTGGCGGTGATTTCGAATCTACGCCGACAAACTGGTTGACACTTCGAAAATTCGTCGTCTACAGCACGATTCCTTAGGACTCACAGCAACTTACATCATGGCCAACGCTCACAGAGCTCCAAAGCAGTGGGGCCTCACCAAGAATGAGATTACCAATAGCTTCGAAAACTGGAGACGAAACTTGATGTAAACTTTGTCGCTCGACAGTAATTTAGCGTCATTCCTTGTTGAAACCGCTACGTGGGGCAAAAAGACAAGAGCCTAACCCCTTCGCGATTTCACGGAAGACGAAGAAACTAGGGACTTTAAGCAAAGACAACGCGGACGGCGACGGGAACGCCATAAGATCAGGGAAAAGCCAAAAGGTCCACTACGCATGACTGGCGAGAAACAAGTTGACGTTCTGCGTTCGGGCCCGACGTGAGTGAAGCTCATTTCGCGTTGTCTGAAAACGTGAGTTTTCGCTTTCGTTTCCTCTGCTGTGTC